GTGCTGCCAGACACATGACCAATGCTACGACCAGGCCAAGAAGCTGGACAGCTGTAAATCCCTCTGGGATAACCCCTACACCAATAGCTACTCATACACGTGCTCCGGCACTGAGATCACCTGCAGCAGTAGGTTTACCTCCTGCTTGACCTATGGATTCTAGGAGGCCCTCAGTAGGTGGCGTGGAAATAATAGCGATAGCCACCATTTATTGATAATTTTATTGGTGCTAGGCAGTGTCTTCTTCAATCCTCACAGCAAAGCTATGGGATCGGTACTATTATTATCCCCATTTTACAGATGAGAAAACTGAGGCTCAGAAGGCTGAGCCATTTGCCTAAGGTCACACAGGTCGTAAAAAGTGGTTTTTGGTTTCTGAACACAGCTCTGTAAGGCTTTGGAGTTTCTATAAGGCCTCTTCTCTAACTGCCATGCCATACTCCTTCCTTATTTAATAAAAAGAGCTGAGAGTGATCATTTATTAAGCTCTTATTGCATGCCAGCTATTGGGCTAAGCATGTATACCAGATAGATTTTATTCCTATTTTATGGGTAAGGAAGCTGAGGCTCAAAGACAATCATCTGCCCAAAAGTGTATAGTTTATAAATGGATAGTTGGTATTTGAATCCAGTTTCATCTGATTTCAAAGGCTCTGTTCTTAACCACTAAATTTTGTAGCACACATAGTGAAACATGTCCCTCCATGAAGGCAGTTCATTTGGACTTCATACTTATTTTAAATCCATCCTAGTTTGTCCTATAATTTGTACTTTACTGGAAATTTACTGAGAAAGGAAAACATCTGTGATTTTTAAAAGAAAGGATCAAAGAGAAACAAAACTTGAATAAGATTACTGAAGGTAAGTAGAGATACATAAATTAAAGATAATTACGTTCAAATGCAAAGTAAAAAAAAAGAAATAAAGTTCAAATGCATTTTAAATGTTATCTTTATCATTTATTTTGGTTACAAAAGTAAACAAGCCAAAAGTAATACAATTTCAAACTCTACAGAAATATCTACCATGGGAAATGGAAGACACATCATCCTACTACCCAAAGATAACCAGTTATATATCATATCCCTCCAGATTTTTTAGGCAAATACTAGCTTTTTTTCCTTTTAATAAAACATTTGGGAAAATTTCCACGTATGTACAGACATACCTAATTCTTCTAAAGTTCTGTGTAATACTCTACTGAAGGACCTGCTGTAATTTTTAAAATATGTGCTTTAAAGTAGAGAAATTGGCTCACCAAACTTCACTAAATTGAAATATACACTACTTTGCTGCCTTACATGTATGTTTTAATGTTTTCCATCCGGTTTATAATTGCTTGCCTTTGTTATCAGAGATCTGTAGTTATATGGGTTTTAAAATCAGGGAGCTTAGTGGTGTGAAATAGACAAGACTTTCCAAAAGGCAGCAAAATCACACCTAGGAGTGCCATATAAAATACAAAATGTGCAGTTAAATTTGACCTCCAGGCGGGGCACAGTGGTTCATGCCTGTAATCCTAGCACTCTGGGAGGCTGAGGTAGGAGGATCACTTGAGCCCAGGAGTTCAAGGCTGCAGTGAGTTGTGATCACACCCACCACTGCACTCCAGCCTGGGCGACAGAGCAAGACCTTATCTCCAACAACAATAAAAAAGTTTTCATTAAAAAAAAAAAAAATTTCTGCTCACTTTACCAGGTTCCCGAGTCCAAAGCTCTTCTAAGGAAGCAGCTGTCGGGGGTCAGGGAGCAAGCAGATAGTTGGTCCCTGGGGCGTTCACAGAGCCAACCCGGGCAGATTTGAACCCTGGCTGTGTCTTCTTACAGTGGGAGCTGCCAACAGTGGCGTCGGCCTGCGAGCCGTGTGGCAGTTCGGCTACATGATCAAGTGCAAGATCCCCGATAGTAACCCCTTGAAGGATTACAACAACTACGGCTGCTACTGTGGCTTGGGTGGCTCAGGCACCCCTGTGGATGAATTGGACACGTAAGTGATCCAGCCGGAGGGAGACTGGATTGTCTGCTGGGGTGGCGGCAGGGCACAGGCCAACGATCTCTTCGAGGCACAGAAAGGGGACTTGCATATCTGCTAAGGATAACATATTCTCAGCCTCTTGTCATATAAAGAAATATGTTCCAAGAGGGCCCTGGAAGCAGAATGTCTGAGATGTAAAACAGTGGGTGATGCTGTCCTCTAGTGGCAGAATGTGGCAACACAAAACATCACAGGGACAGCCCAAGTGTAACCTAGT